TTTGGGTGGAGAAATGCCTTTTTAAGGGAATTCAGTGCAACCTCTCGTTGAAATCAGGACTTCCCTCACGAACCTCCTTGAATGGCCTAAAATCAAAATTCCCTGAGGCAGTCTTATGAAGGAGGAAGCTCTGGGAGGAGCAAAATGACCCTAATATTGCTATAAAAACAAAAACCAAAATTAAACACCAAAGAAGAAAAGCTCTGCAAAACACAATCTGAAATGAATGAGAAAAGTTGGAAGTCCCAACTTCCTAGCGCTATCTATCCTGTTCTTCTTGCTTATTGTTTGCTTGTGTTTTGTCTGTGTCAGAGAATCTGATATATCAGAAACACCTCAGTAAACACGTTTATCTTACATAAACTCCATTGGCTAAATTACCTAAGGGACTAACTATGCTTTAATCTTTTCCCTACAAACTGTCAAAGTGAAAGGCCTTTTATTTGCTTCCCTACCCTCCGTCATGGTTAGTTAATTCTTGAAACTCTAGTGTGAGCTAAAAAAATAAAGGCTTTAATAATTTGTAGGATGTCGTTCCTACAAATCACTTAGTATCTGTAGTAACATTTGAAGGATGAATGAAGATCATCGTTGAAGATAGTGGGATACCGTCTTCAAAGGAGAGTGACTCTCTGTTTTTAACACAATGATAAATGCAGCAGTGAGTGCTGCTTCATCTGAACATGAAGGAGAAACAGAGACAGTCGTCTATAAAATGAGATCTAAAGGGTGTCTATTTACCAGACTAAAAATTGGCAATATATTTCATCATGAATGGAGTAACCATGAAATCACAAGGGTATATTCTTGAGAGGGGATGGGGTCTTACCTGGGAACAGCATGACCTCCTGTGGGATAGTAAGGGTGATATTTCCGTAGGTTGTATGAATATCTTATGGCATTTTTAACACTTCTTACATCACATCTATAATTTGATTGCTTCACATAACTGAGACTCAGTTTTGAGATGCATAATTTATATGCTCATAAAGAAAAAAGTTTTATAAATTTTGTAATTATCAATGATCAGGGTGAGTGATTTCTCCAATGTTCCTTCATAGTGGTTAAAAACTTCATCTAGAATTTTGAAATGAAGTCAAAAAGAGCTGTTACTAACCGAGGTTGCTGAGGAGACATCTCTTTATGAAGTAATTAATATAAATTTTAACATCTATTACAAAGTAAATTGTATCCACTTTTTCAGTGGTATAAGAATTTTTTTCCTGTGCCTGGTTTCTCAACTAGGATGCTTTAGATGGTTCTATGATTTACTTTTTTCCTGCTCTTTTGCTCACCAAGTGATGCCCTGTTGAAACAATTGCTGTGTTCATACGTTATTCCAGAGCTAATATTTTGAAAACTGGATATTTGTATATGTTCTAATATTTGTAAAAAGTAAATTGATTTTTACTAACTTCATGTCCTTAGTCTGCTTCATGTGTGTTTACCACTCAAGTCAAAAATTGGACATATTCACTTGACAAAAGAAAAGAAGAACACACAACACATGCACATGTGGTTACTATTAAGGACCCGAACAGAATAATTTTAGTATCCTTGTCATGTAGAGTCTCTAACAGAGTAAATACATTAAATTTCCACCTTGGAAGTATTAAGGCACTCTTAACTTCATTGGCAGATTCTAAATCAAATTCAGTGTATAAATATAATCAATTATTTCTTGCTCATGTCAGGAGGTCAGGAGTCTTTGCACAGCTGAGGATTGATCGTGTCATCTTTAACAATTCTGCATAATGATAAGTCATTAGGAGTCAGTTTAATTTGATGTCCATTTATCAAGGTAGGAGCAGTAAGCCCCCTAGTATGGCCTATGAGCAGTCTAGTCACAAGCTTTTGGCCTTTTGATTTTAAAACGAACAAACAAGCAACAAAGAATATAGCCCTCGTGCCTTTTCATTAACCTGCACTTCCTCACGGATTTCTATTCTGATTGTAACGCCATAGAACCTCTGCACCAAGAAGACGCCCTCCTGTTCCGTAAACCATCACGACTTTTTTGTAAAAGCCCCCAGATTTTCCTTGAATCTCTTAACTCACGTTCCCACCACTGTCATTTTCAGGATCGCAGAACAGGTTGTAATTAGGTCATTCCTCATCATGTCTACTCAGGAATCAATTCATACTCAGTTGTCCCACTTCCCATTAATACAGTATCTGAAACAATCTTTCCTATGTTAAAGCTCCATCCTAGTGACCAGCCTTCCCTTGGCTTGTCACACAGTGGCAGGCCACACAGGCCCTTCCATGCCATCTGTGTTCCTGGTGACTTCAAATCTGTCACTCCTTCCTGCTTCATACTTGATGTCCAGCAGGTGGTTCACACTTCAGAATCAGAACCTTCCCCTTCACAAAGTCGCAGTGGATCTCTTCATCCTCCTTTCTTTATTTCGTTAGAGGCTTCTTCTGCCCTCCAGGTTTCTGTTGTTTCGGTTGTTGTTTTACTTTTATTTTTTCATAGGAATTGCTTTGGAATGATCGCTTCACAGCCACTCCCAACTTTAAGCCACAAATGCCTGCCGGTTCTATCCCCTGGATGCAATTCCCTTGATAACTCTCAAATGTCCTTACTCTACTTTATTGTGACTACCATATGATTTCAGGCCACTGCAGTCATTGTACTAAAACATTAATATAATGAGCATGTTTTAATATTTTCCATCTGTTTCTATCCATTCTGGAGATTTCCTTTTACTTCAGTGAAGCTGAAGTAAAAAAAAAAAAATTAGATCCTTTTTTAAAATAATTCATCGTATTGCCTCAGCTCCGTGGACAAAGTCTAAGCTTTTCACCGTCATTTATGAGATGTTTCCGGATGAGGGTCTGCATATCCTACACAGCAGGTGCCTTGCACTGTCCCATATAGAAACCCTGTCCCCTGTTCTTGGCACTCACTATGTGGGGATCCACCCACATTCATGGTTATTGCTTCCTCCTGTGATCTATCCATATGACTTTTTATCTGAATGACAGCTAGAAGATTCCTCTTCTGAACCCACCTCTTCCTCAACTTGTGGTCCCTCATTATCTGCATCCAAACGGTCAGTGTCTCCCCCAGCCATGTCCCCCAGACACTGTGGAATGATCAAGTGCTGCCACTTAATGCCCTTTCCACGGATGATGGCTCTAACACTACGTCCTGTGCTCCTGTCTCGTCCACTCCCACGTCTGTACACACTGCCAGCATTTCCTCATTCCTAAACAAGATACTCAGTGTGTGCTTTGAACATTATGTTTTCTCCGGGTGTAAACCTCTCATATTAGTGGATTTCCTAGAGAATTTTCACCTTTCATAACACAAGACTTCTGCATGTCTGAATAAGAACTTGAAGAGCCCCTGCAGGCTTTGGCTACCGCAATTTTCCATTTTGCCAGAGAACCACATGTTTCAAATAGAAAATGCACGTTCGATCTGGATGCCGGAGAGAAAAGGCACACGAAGGGAAACCCCAGGCAGCCCACAGCTGCAAGGCCACAGGAGTGAGAAATGCATTATTGTCACGTTCCACTGAGAGTTGGGGGCTATTCAACAGCACAGAAAAGCCCAGGAAAAGTTGACATAAACAGGCAATCATATTTGCAGACTCAAGTTCAGTTTCCAATGGCTCGTCCAGCTCCCTTCCAATGCTTACCAATAGATAAGATTAGCTTCCTCCTGCAGAAAATACAAAGAAAGGGAGGGAGGGACAAAGAGAAGGACAGAGGGAGAGAGGAAGGGAGGAGGACAAAGAGAGGAGAAAATGCCCCTGCCTCTATTATGTATTAAATAAATTCTAAACCCAAATTTCTTTACTGTAGATTCCTATCAGTTTCAATAAAAACACTGTTAAGAAAATAATAAAAGTTAAAAGACTGCCCTAAATCCTACTCAGTATGTGATCTAGGTCTCTGTTGTCTACCAACTGTTTTTAATGAACTTCACAAAGTATTCTCATTTTCATTTTCACTTCTTTAGCCTTGTTGGCCCTTAAACCTCTGTTTTTGCATTTCTTTCTTTTTTATTAAAACTTTTAATTAAAATATAATTGGATAACTTTTCCCCCTTCCATTTCCTCTGTACAACCCCTCCCATGTCCTTGCCTTGCAACCTCTCTCCTGAGACTGCTACCTCCTTCAAATGGATGGCCTCTTTCTCTTTGATTATTTTTTTTAATGTATCTAAATGAATACATACATTCAAAAATCTGCAGAATCTACTTAATGTGGCTGGATTGTATGTGAATGCTTTCAAGGCTCCTTTGTGTTATGATCTCACCAAAGCAAGGCACCTGAACCCCCTTTTCGTGTAATTATTGATGTACTCGTTTGTGTTGGCAGCATCCATTGTTTCAGTTCCCACGTTACTGCAGAACCTGTTGATAGGTAGCCTCCACAATTTAAAATTTATGGCCATGTTTTAGCATCATTGACTATTTATACATCTTCTTTTGCTCATTTCAGATCACTATCATTGAATATTGCTCCTTCACAAATCAGTATTTAAATAATTGAATATTTAACATATCCACTTGCAAATCTCAAGTGTAACATCCCTAAGGCAAATATCATGAATTACCTCCCCACAAGTGAAAATAAATGCATCACTGTGCACAAGTTCTTCACTATGGAACTTCAAAAAAGCGGGAGAGGAAGCTGTGCCTTTGTGCCTGGTGTCTGTCATCCAGCATAATATTCTTGAGGTTCATCTACATTGAATCAGTGGTTTGACTTTTTAAATTGATGAGCTTAAATTGATTCATTGCTTAGATAAGTCAAATGTTGGCTGTGATATCTAAAGTCCTATCAAATTCTCATATAGTTTTGTGGATTTACGTTTTCATGACCCTTGTATAAATGCGCAGCAATGGGATTTCTTCATGAGCTATGTCTAAACTCAATTACATTGGAAAAGGTAAAAATCTTCTCAAAGCAGTTGCCAGTGTCTGGGATTTTAACCTACTTAGAAGCTAATAAATTTGTCTATTAATGTTTTATGGTTGCAGGAAGAAGGCATGTGATTCCTGATGTAAGAAAAATGGATTTTATCGTTCAGGAGAGGAAGCAGCATGACCGCTATGTGTATGTTGTTTTATGATGTTGCTGGAGTCCAAAAAGGAACGCGCAGGGGACGCTGAACATTACAAACAGTACCTGGTCCTGGGGATCCTAATTTAAGGTAAGTGGAAAGCAAGCTTGAAGAGAAAGTGTTTTTTCTCCCACCTCAGGGATGCTAGTCAGAGATTTCACCCTGGGAAATGGTCCAGGCGAAGGAGGTCATGAGACCTGCACACATGGAGAAGCCAGAGAGCATGTAGAGGCAGGAAGCACCCAGGGAAGACAAATTCCCACAGCTCATAACTTTGCACTTTCCGTACGAGTGTGGGAAAACCTTTAACTGCAACCATTCTCAAACATATACCTTACCTTTGAAATTCTTGATGAATAAGAACAAAAACCTTTTTCTTGTAGGCCAATCTCTGTTTCCTTTGTTTTGTTTTACAATGTGCATACTTAAGAATTATTTTTTTTGTTTTTGAGGTTATAATTTAATTACATGTCTTCCTTTCCTTTTCTCTTCCCAAACTCCCCCATGTATCCCTCCCTGCTCTCATTCATTTATGGCTTCTCTTTCCCCTAATTGTGATTGCACAATTAGATGCCCAAATATAATCTGTTGACTCCATATAATTATTGCATGTATGTTTTTAGGACTTCTTGAATACCCACATTTGTCTTTCTACATTCTAGATTCTAAAGTCATTTACATATTATAGATATAATTAGTCACATATATTGTAAATATTTTCCAGTCTATGGCTTCTTTTTCATTGGCATCACTTGAAAAAAACAGGCACTTAATATGAATTTTTTCTTTTGGTGTTTGGTGTTTTTGTGCTTTTAGAAATCTTGTGTATCAAAAGAATTTTTATATTTATTATTTAAGCATATTATTTGACTATTTAATAAATATCTTATTATGATTACTTTCTCCTCCTACTCTTTCTTATCTCTTTTCACTACTATGGGTTTCCTCCCCTATAACCCTCTTTAAGATCTATATCTCTTTGTCTTATTTTGTGGCCCACTGTGTATAAGCAGAGTCATCTGTGCTGTCATTGGCTTCAGTTAGTCATGGGAGTCTAGTAGACTCCCTGGTTGTAGACAATGGAAAGCAGTGATTCCCTTTCTCTAGAACCCATGAAGAGTCAATAGTGGCTCAATTCGATATGCATGACCACTTATTCTCTTATCTTACTTTTTACTAGAGGATTTTCGTCTTCTTGTTTTTTTCTTCTTACACTAGAGTTACCTTTTTGCCTTTTAAATTAATTTAAACTAATAATCGAACAGCCATATATCCTATTCCATCTTTTTAAAAAATGAATATTTTAATTAGGTAGCATTTGATGGATCAACAGCATTTATTCTTACTATACTAATACTATAGTAATTATATATTATATAATAATTATATCATTATTTATTATTGTTATGGATTACTATTGTTATATGTTATTTTATAATAACTATTTATAGCAGGAAGGTTAGTTTTAGAGTAGCTGTTTCTCTGTAACTAACCATGTTCTTTATTTAATAACAACTTGATAAGCTGATTCATTTTTAATCAATTGAATATTGACATTAGTTATTTTGTTATGCTTTCCACTGAAGTCTTATAGCTTAATCCTGTCACTGGAATTAAATGAGATCTTGTCTCATAGCATATCGGGTAAATGGTGTTTGGGGACATTCAGATCTAAACCAGTTGAATCTTTACAATGTCTTTGTTTCTTTTTGGGGGATGCTTTTTAGTGATCCCCAATATTCTAATAATAAACCCCAGTAACCCCTACACTGGGTACTGCCCAGTGTTGTAAAGAACACAGGGAACTGCCCGAATTAGCAATCTGCCCAGATTTCTAGCTATCAGTTTAAGATGTTAGCCATATGAACTTCAGGAGCTCATCTGTCAGATAGGAAAAATGATGGCTTCCAATATGTCACGTGAAATGGGAGGATTCATGGATTCATCCAGCTTTGCTAATGAGCAGAAGCATTACAATTAGAAACTGTCAAGGAGAAGTCTTCCCCACATGGCAGCCGTCAGTGCCTCTGCACTATGGTTACGTCTGTCATTCAACTTTGTCACCTCCAAACTCAGAGGAAAGTTTACTAAAAGTCTTCTTGTTACTGCGACTAAAACCTGAATTGACAGAACATAGAACAAGCTTCCTTGTGGTGTGATATCTATCTATCTATCTATCTATCTATCTATCTATCTATCTATCTATCTATCATCTATCTATCTATCTATCTATCTATCTATCTATCTATCTATCTTTCATCTATATATATATATAAACAAGTGTAATATATATATATAAAATCAATACTGATACTGAATGAGAAAAGAGAAAGTTATATCCACATAAAAGTGTCAAGTAAATGACCTCTCCTTGTTCTCATGTATAGAACATTTTAAATATATAAAAAACTAGATTTTGTAGAGCCCCAGGGACTTGTGACTGCTGGTTATGTAAATAAACAAAAGTCTTTTTGTAGTTTTACCAAATAAATTATTTGGACACTAACAATTCATTTATTATACAGGGTGACTTTCAGTGTTTTTTAATTCTTGCATGAAAAAAGTTATAAGCCACTAAAATCATCAAATGCCTTTTATCCTAGTTAGCTTTATGTACTTACTCTAAGTGTCAACTTGATACTGCCTAGGGCATCTGAGAGAAAAGGCTCAGCTGAGGAATTACCCGCTCAGATTGGGCTGTTGAAATGTGGCAGGAGTGTCTTTATTACTGATTGATCATCTCAGGAGGGAGCAACCCATTGTGGGGATTTTCATCGCTAACTACATGACCCTTTCTGTACATAAGAAAACTAGCCAAACATGACCCTTCTATTGAGCCGGAGAGCAGCATCCCTCCACAGTTCTTTCTTTACATTCTTGCTTAAGTTTCTTCCTGCCTTGACTTCCTCAAGGATGGATTCTAACTGGTAAGCTGAGGCAAACCCTTTCCTTCTGAAGTTCTTTTTAGTTGGAATCTTTTATTACAGCAACAAAATGAAAGTAGAACACTCCCCCCCATCTTCCCAAGAGGCATTAATTTGACTACAAAACAAGCCATTGCCCATATAGTTCAAAAGTGCTCTTGCATCATAAAGAGTCGTGCTATTAGTCTTCAGGGATTCACTAAAAGCACAATTGAACCAAAGGTTCTTAGGGGAGGAATAAAGAAGAGGAGGGCCGACAATTCCGCATGAATCAAATGCACGTTTGCTGCTCACGGCCTTATCTAATCAGTCTCATTTAGAAACGCACATCTAGTGGACTGCATTTGCAAATCTCATGTTTCCCCGTTAGAATAATATAGTGTGGAAATGCTTTCCTCTGCAGGAATGCTTTTGATTCATTTTGCTGAGTTTTAGGAAATGTGGCTACCTTGCATAGAAACACCAAGCTATAGCACACACAAATTTAGCACCAAATTTGCAGGTATAGCAATTTTGATACTGCCACCTACAATTCCTATTTACTCTATCCACACAGTTATACCCGTGTCATCAATGCTCCACACTTACAGCAGCCTTGCAGTTTACAACTGACACCACACAGTCTGCATTATCCCCCATTGGCTTCCTGAGCTGCTTAGAAAAAGGACCTATTCTAGGGTCTATTGGCATGCACAGAGAGAGGGCAGAGAAAACACAAGTTCTGCCTCTTCACTTACTATTTGTTCCTCTCCAGTTTCTTGGGCACTTCTGCTGATTATCACCTAGTACAAAACATCCAAACTCCCCAAAGAGAGAAAAGAGAGTCAGTCAAATGTTAACACACTTTCAGATCATTTAAGAGCGTGATAATTAGTCTTGATCCAGTCTAAGAGCCAAAAAGCCAGAGAGCTTCAGGAAAATATTGTACATAAAATCCATCTTGTTCAGAACCAGTGAGCAAGTTACATTTCCTGTCTCACATGGTTGTCTCTCCAGCATGGAGTTCATTACAGGGATGAATAGTGAGTACCAGTGGGGTTCTAGTCATGCTGGACATTTTAGTTGTAAGTTTGTGTTTTCTTTCAGAAAGGATTTCTCAAAACCTAAACTCAAATTCAAGAATGACCCTCTCTTGAATGACCCATTTACCATGTGGAAAATGGTAGACACTCGCTGATGCTTTCAGGATGTGTCAATATCAACGAGACTGAGATAAAAGTCACTAGATTTAAGCATATGTGGTCTAGTATAAGAAGACAGGAAAGGAAGAGAGAAGGTAAAGGAGAAGGAAGGGAGAAAGGAAGGCTTTGGCTATGCCAAGGGAAGATTATAAAAGATATATATAATGTTTTTATTGCTCTAACAATAAAAGGAAAAATGGAGAGAAAAATATAACCTATGTAACTGTGTCTGACTGCATGAAAGTTAAAGAGTAGGGATAAGAAGACAGTATTATTTAAAGCATGAGAGGGTCATAGAACACATAGAACAACACATCACAACATAAGAAATACAGGGAAGAGAAAGCAGGAATTCTCCATCCAAAACTAGATAATGACCATTAGCCAATAACTTATGGCTTATGGATTTGGAAGAGAATACTTAAGAATGAGGATGATGACGATGATTCAAAGGAGATAAACTCCTTTGTGGACTGTTTATTTGGATAGCTTTGGCTACTTAATCTCTGCATATGTGGGGAGGGTATGGGGAACAAACTCTAGGAAACCAAGTGATGGATGCTTTGTAAAACAGAATCATAGATTGATTCCAAAATCCTCAGCTAGATAAAAACGGTATCTGATAACTTCTTGGAGATAGACCAATTGTAGGATGCCCAGAAAGTAGAAGGGGTTGGTGACAAACAGGCTAAAGGGATAGAAGGGAAAGTATGCAAGGCATAGGGCTACAGAAGAGAGCTTTGGTTTTCAAACCAATGCTGAACAGAATCCAGACACCAGGCATTTGCAGTGATACCATGCCTTGGTAATGTTTCAATGGCAAACACACATTTTAAGTCAAACACATTTTCCTAAATACCTTTATTAATGTATTAGTAAATCACTGCAGCAACTAGGTCTGTAATTTTTGATTCCATGTTGCTTTTGATTTGATTTTTGTTGTAGCCATCATTTTGCTTTCCCAAAATTTCTAGCCCTG